TCAAACTAAACGTTTATCGTGTTTAGGGAGGTTCGACGAATCATATATTCTAGTGCTGAAGTCACGCATGGCCTCATCATCCCTGATCATCCATCAATAGCTGCATTACATCACTGGCCAATTTGAAACAAATCATAAACAAGATATTTTTATTTATATGTTCATGGAGGTACAGTTAGCGGATCTTGCAATCGTTTTGTTAAATTCAATGCCCTTTTTCTCCTTGTTTTCCTAATTTAATCTTAATCCAAGTGCTTTCAAATTCTAATCTCAGATTGACCAATATGTGCGTATTCTTTTGGGTTTGCTTCAAATCCCTGTTTGTCTGGTGAATAAACCAAACGAACCTGAGATAATGCAAGGTTTGTTAAATACACAGACTGATAGAAGCACAGAGAAGAGTGTTCTTGACAAAGCATGTAATATTGAAAATGGTGATTATTGACAGATTTTCAGAATACAGGTAGTCTGTTTCAACCAATAAAGCATTGGGGAAAAAATACATTACTCACAGGAAATGCAAAGTTTCCTCAACGTCTGTCAACAAAGAAGAATTCTAGTTGAGCCATGTTTGTACATTAATTCGAGGTAAAATGAAGTATTCTTCATGTTTATCTACTGTTTCCTAATATTAGCATTATTACATGGTTGGCTATACCGATTTTGAGTGAAGCTACTTGCACACCCTGCTACTGATGATCCTTATAGCTATCTTTGGAAGCAGTTTCGAGAGCTAGGGCAATGTCGTAGTGTTTGTGTCTTTTGTTTAGAGTGATCAAGCTGGAGATGGTGGGGTCAGATGTTAGGGATGGGGGCGGGCCAAATTCTGGGTCCTGTGTCACTACACAGAAATTTTTACACTTGTATTTTCCGGAGCTGGCTCCAATAAATCCAGTTTTGTTTTTAAACAAATAAAACTATTCTGACTTCCAAAATCTTTAATGCTCTCTTTTTTGTTTCATAACTTTTTCCCTTTAAATGGTCCTATTAATAATAGTCCTTTAACATAATGACTTCATTTTTCCTTTGGGAAAGTATACTAATAATTCAATAGAATTCAGATCTATTGTATTGAAAATGAAGCTTTTGGAAAACATCATCACTGCCAAAGAAAACTTTGTTTGATTCAGTAGTCCACTTTGATCATTTTATTTTCAATCACTAAAGATAAATCAATGCAGATGTTACGATATGAAGATACTGTACACTGTGAGTGGGATGTTAATAACTAGCAGTATTGACATGTCTGCATCAACTTTGGAAGTCAGTACGATTGTAATAAAAGGTTTAAAAAAATGTTCTGATAAAATGTCGAGTTTTTTGAGGCGATGGATTATTGTGGCTCAACACTATTATTTTATCAGTGGTTTATATGACAAGGAAAATTCATTTTTGACCTGAAATTTCTGGGACTAAGGTCTACAAGGCTACCTTAACGGAGACCCTTACCGAAGGACTGACTGTAGAGTCCTGTCCACTTGGCAGAACAATAATAGCCAAAATATGTTTTCCCATCACCAGTTTCCATGTGGGTGATCATGCTTTTGGGTTCACAGCAAGTGTCTCATGGTGCTGGCTACATAATGATTACCACCCAATTCAATTTTATGGAGAAAATCTGAACTTAAAAAATTATTTCCTAAGAAATTTTTAGCCTGTCCATATTTTTTGGAACAACTCTTTCACCAAGTTCTCCAATGAATCAATCAGATGTTCAACGAAAAACATGGGTCTGTTTTTGTGCTTTCCTGAGTGGGTGCCCTCTTGCAGGCATGGCAGAACGTCAGTGTTTCGATGCATAGTGGTGTGTTACCAACAGTTTTCTTGTTTTTCTATTGTTTCTAACTGGTTTTTAAAGTGTAATAAACTTCCAGAATTCTTGCACATCTCACTTTTGGAGCAGTGTGTGATAGCAGAGATTTGCGTGTGGACTAACCGCTGCTCATTTTCTCTAATGCGTAATTCAATGACAGTTTGTGCTTCAGAGAGCAGTGTAGACATTTGCTTTGATCTTTCTTCACTGATTCTGCTCCGTCTGTTTACAGTGATAACTTTAACAAACAGTTGCATATATTGTGGTCCAGGAATAAGGAAACTGTTGATAATCATCACAGTCGGTGAACCTTTGTCCACAGGAATGTACATGTTTTATTTTAATTTATAAAAAGTTAGTTATAGAAATGCTTACCTGATCAGGTATTGGAACGTCGTTTTTCTTCAAAGCCAAACGATCAATCATCAACCTTTCAAAAAGTGTGTGTCACATAAGAATCAAAACAATACTGTAATGCATATGTTTGCCGTTTGAACAGATTCACAAAACCACTGCTATATAGTGATTGCATAGTTTGTCATGCGTATTAACAGACAGTTTTATGGAAATGAGCCCGTGTGTTTTTGAAAATACAGTAAATGTTTCGGGTTACAGTCTTCAGTAGATAAAGACCCGTACATATACAAAAGTTCTTTGGTTTTGACCATGGTAAAGATTCTGGATTTGATTGAAATGAGATCTAATCAGATCCTAATGAGAAATCTTGCTGATTGATTGGTCAAACATTGGTTTTGTGGGATTTTCACTGTTGACACAAGCCTTCCATTAAATTTATGAACTGACTTGCCTGTAGGGGACAGTTTCAAAATCAGCAGGGGGTCAAATACTTCTTTAAAACACTAGACATTTGTGATTTTACTTGAGGCTCTTCACATAAACCTCCTATTGCTTTTCTTCCTTATATAATCTTTTACAAATTGTAAGTTTGAAAGCAAAAACGTTAGACAGAAGCACACAGCAATTTCATTTTATGTTTATTGTGTATTACTAGTACTACCTTAGTTTGAATGTCACAAAATCAGTATCATCCTGAACATTTGATAACTATTAGCTAGGGTCACAGAACAAACCCTAAAACCCTTGAGATCTTGGAGTCTGAATTAAACGGCAGGCTGTCACATGCAACCGAAGGAAGTCAGGTCAGGGTCGCATGAAGTTTCATATATTGTCTACACAAGCAATATGTATGATTTCTTAGATACAGATGCTTTGATTTAGTGTTCCCTGGGAGAGGTTGTCCTACAACTCTGGAATGAAGGGATAATCCTAGCAATCTGCCCTAACCAAGGCCCATTATCCCAGTCGATCTGTTCTGGGCTGTCAAGGCTCTTGTGGGGGAGAGCACATGTATGTATACAAACTGAAAAATGTGCCAATATGTAAACCATGGAAGTCGTAGTGGGAAGGAGTGGACACGAACAGAAATACGGCTGAATACCAGCAGAACAAGATGGATTATAGCTGGGCTTGACCTCTGAACTACAATGTGAACATAGAGGACGAGCGTTTGCTAGGTTTGTGTGTGCGTGCGTCTTTTAATTAGCCGCTTGACTGCTTCCTTAAGAAGTGGATGTGAGGGTTTGTTTTTCAATCGGAGTTCATGGGGCTGCTGCGAAAACTGAGGCAGCAAAGACAGAACGAAATATAGTGAGCAACACAAATGCTCCGTTCAAACAAAAGACTATTGTGTTTCTTGAGATCCAGAGAGTTTTGTTTTCTCTTTCCTGTGAATTGTTCAAATCTCCAATGAGACCAATCCATGAGACATTTTCCTTTTAAATAAAGCTGTTGTACACCGTTTACCTCTTTCTCAGCCTTGGCAGGAATGCACAGGAATCTCACTCCCTCTCCCTTTCAGGTGTAATTTTACGTCGGATGAACGTTCAGAATGGTTGTTTCTTTGAACTTTCTAGAGCCTGTATTATGGAATCATTGATAAGAGCCAATTTTGAGGAAGCTTTGTAAATTAAACCAAACTCTAAACACTTTTAGCAAAAGTAAAATGCTACCTTACTTTCCCCCAAAAAAATTTTTCTATATTTTGCCCATTTTAAGACAGGACAGTCAATGAGCTGGTTAATTCACGCCAGGCTTCTCCCGAATTTCATATACAGTGGTACCCCGAGATTCGAATGCTTCGAGTTAGGAAATGTTCGCGGTACGAAAGGTCTCGCGGGAAATTTTTTGCTTCGAGATGCGAAGAAAAATGTGGGATATGAACAATTACAAGCTGTTCTGCTGTATTTTCCGCTTGTTTGTATGATGTCGCGGAGCTACGAATTGTTCGAGATCCGAATGTCATCCTGGAACGCACAAAGTTCGTATCTCGGGGTACCACTGTAAACATATGCAATTATGGGCATGAAATCTAACACAAAACAATAGATTTCTTAATTCTGTAACCTTTAAAAATGCTGTGTTTGATAAACAAGTCTCATGATTGAATCCATTGTGAAACTACTGTTTTTAGGTTATTTATTCATTCATACATTCATTCATTTTCCACACCACTTATTCCTTTTTTTGGGGTAACAGGGGTCTCGAGCACACATTGGGCGAGAGGCGGACGTACACCCTGGACAGGTCGCCATGTAAAAATAGTGATTTTTTGTGATTTGAAATCAGACAGATGAGTATTTGTTACATGAAAACACAAAACTATGTTCATTATTCATAATTCTATTTAAAACCTTTTTTCTTGACAAAAAAATGCTTTATTTGTGTTTGCTATGACAGCCATCTTTATTAAACAACCAAATGTGCATGCTGGGAAATTTAAACGTACTCAATCTGAAGTGTGCTAGAAAATTTAGATCTCTGAAAAATTTCCAAATTTTACTAAATGTAACACTTTTTAAAGCCTAAATTTGTGCTTTTAAATTGTTTTTAAGGCCCCACGGAAACCTGAAGTCACTTTGGATAAAAGCATAAATCACCTAAATTATGTGAACGCCAAACGCATTTCATTTTAACCGTGGTTGTTTCCCTCCACGGTTCCTGGTACCACTTCCCAGGAATAACACATTGTTGAAGCTTGGTTCTTGTAATTGTGCCCAATTATTATTTATGAGAAAGCAGCCCAAAACATTTACATTTATGCATTTAGCAGACGCTTTTATTCAAAGCGACCAACATTCAAGAAATTAACTCATTTTCTAAGTTCTTGCTTTCCCTGTTGTTTGAACCTACAACCTTTACGATGTTAGCGAAGTGCTCTACTGACTGAGCTACAGGAAAGCCGTGTTGAAAATACATTAATGTAATTAACAATCGCTTCAACCGACCTTTTCTTCCTGTGCACCATAGCTAAAGATAAACATCTCTCTAAACACTTAATCCCAGATATTCAAGGACCATTCCTCCCGTTTCTTGAGGACACCCCTCAAGGGAGGTTTTGTCACAAAAGCCTTTGTCTGTCATGCAGAAACCTGCTATAAGTCACCATCTTTCTAACATCTACTTAGTCTCACAAGTACTAAAACAAAAACCTTCATAGGCTTAGACACCATTCACCCAACTGTCTACTGGCCACACACACACTGCTCTATTCAGTTTCAGATGTGGCCACACACACACACATTATTCAAGCTGACCCGAGAGCCCAAATTGCCTGGACAAATATACACTTACTCACAACAGTGCAAACACTTCATCACACATCCACCATGCCAGCACTCCCTAGCAATCACTTACTTGTATGGGTCACCACTAAAACTTCTCTGCAATTCATTAGGACCACCATGCATTCCTACATGCACAAAACCAACCTTGTCTTCCCAGTTTCCTCAATCCAGCAGAACATTCCAGAATGTCAGAGGATTCACATTCAGTCTGAATCCATCAGTCTCACAGCAAGCAAACGCACACAAGCTTTGCTTAGCTCATCTGTTTGTTTGTGTTTACTCTTTCCAGGCCATGGTATGGTGGAAGAGTGTTGTCCTGATCTTACCACGTGGTTTCAAACCTTGAGAACAGTTGTGTTTCAGACCACAGATCAAACTCGTTTTCTAGAAGATACCACCTTGATCGTTTAAGGTGCAACCCTAAAGAAATTTACCCAAATAGCGAAATGATGATGATGATGATGATGATAGCCTTTATTTGTCACATACACTGTTACATGTAGCGAAATGGGACCCCTCTGGCCACAGACATAGACAGGGTGGGACAGGCCAGTGATGAGAGGTAGCATATTTAGAGAGAAACAGAGAAATGGATATACATTAGGTAAATTAGCTTAAAAAAAAGAGCCTTTCCGCATTGTCCTTCAAAAAAAGAGCACTGTGGAGCAGGTTAAAAAAAGCCATCTGCAATCAAGCACATTGACAAATACAGGAAAAGAACATCGCAGGATGAGGTAGCGGTCGGGAAGTGGTGTAGCCACTGCAGTCAGCAGCCGGCATTTTCCTGCAGCCAGATGGCGCTGTACTAATGACCCGTCAGATTGCAGCGGTGGGGAAAAAGCTGGCGTGTATCACCGCCGAAGGTGATAAAATCAACAAGTCTGTTGCCGGGTTCCTACTTGCCAAATTATAATACACTTTGATGACAAAAGAACACAGTGTGTAGGAAACTGACTACTTCTCTATTATATAGAATATAGACAAAAAACTATGTGGCAGTTATCGATAATCAACCTTAAATGGAGGGTAGGTGATTTCGGTGAGCATTTGAATTGATCACAACAATCTAGAACCTACACCAAAGTGGCATTTCCTTGTAACACCACTATACAAACAGCCTCCTGGGACTATAATACAGAAAATAGCCATATTTCCTTTCAAAGACGCAAATCAAATTTTATCCGCAAACCTGGAATATTAAAGAACCATTCACACCCAACAAGTCCAAGAGAACTAAATCATCACTTCCTGATAAATTGGCACCAAACATCAAACGGAAAATTTGAATTTTCTGCGTTTTCAAATATCTTACTAGCGTTATAGAACATGCAGACAAAACACAATCATGTCATCTTGCCTTTGGGGACGGGAGACTGCTCTTGGGGAATGCAGCCAGTCAAGACAGTTCTGGGAGGTGAGGATCCCAAACCACTTTGATGGCACACTTTGGCTGAGGAATTTTAGAACCAAGAAAACATTTCAGATGTTCAGCAATGAAGTCAAAGCTAAGCTCTACGACAAACCCGGCAAAGATCTGGATGTAGCCCTTCTCTTAGATGTTAAGTTGGCTGAGCTGATTCAAGAGCAATCATGAATTTTTGGTGATAAAACCTTCAAAATCTGGTTCCAAAATCGCACACACATCTGTAACATCAATAAGGTCTCAGAGTTTGGGCCTTTTGTCAGTCCCAATAAGTCTTAGCAGTTTTTCATGAACTTGCTTATAGTCCTTAAAAGGTGTTTATGTTTCTACTACCGCAATAGTGATTGACGTACTTCTATGCAGTGCTTTTAATTCTCACAGTTTTGTAATTTCTTCTCGTCATGTACTTCACCTGGAAAGAGCTGAAATAATTTTTACATACTGCAAAATACTGGAAAACATGAAGTTGAGTATGAAGATCCACAAATAACTAATGTTCAGTGATGACCTTGAAATATATTAGTCTCCCCTACTTTCCTTTCTCCCAGCTGTTAACAAATGTATTCCTCAAAATGGCACCAATTATTTCCTTCAACAATGTTTCTCAAATAACAGATATTAATTCACACGTTACATGTTTTATACAATATTTCTTTTCCTGTTGTAGCGCTACCTCAGCCACTCACCATTGAAACAACCTCACAGCCCATATTTAAAATTCTGCAGCGAGGTTGTTTCAGTGGTGAGTGTCTGAGGTAGAGCTACAACAGGAAAAATCTACAGGCATGGGTTCATTTAAAGGCTTAAAATGTACATTTTTTGAGCCTGAGCTAAAGGTTGTTGGCAAAGTTAGCAGCCAGGATGCCGACAACCATTATCTGACTGAGGTAACGTTAATTGTTGCCAGTGTCATGGTCACACAATTACTTTAAAGTTAAAAACTATTGTATTTTCATCTTCAAGAACGAACTACTCTGTTGCTTAGACAGATGCTTGTGTTTAGAGCTCTTTCTCACAATGCTGTTGATATCTTATCTGGTTGCTAACATGTTCCTTTTGTTTAGCACCCGCTAGCGTGTGTTTGCCAAGTTGTGACTGGTTTGTTTTCAAATGGAAGTGCAGTGTGTGAATGTATTGAAATGCTGTGTGCAACATTTTGATATGATGAAGAGAGCCAGGAATGCCCGACCATTCAACCCGTTAACATTGTGCGACTTTGTGTTACTTTAAAGGACATTTGGCTAAACTGTATTTTTTTTATGAAGATAATTAGCAAGACTTGAAGTTTAAGTAACTTTAATGAATTAAGTAAATTAAATAACCTAAAACTTTTGATATTTTTCCTTACCATTAAGAGACAGTTCATTTGTTGAGGGTGCATGTCACATTAATTCCAACAGTTTAGGCTAGCTAAAAATCTAAATATTAGCAGCATTGAATATGAATTAAGCCAAACAAGTGCTATAAAATTCAACCATACAATGTAAAATTATAAAACCATAAATCTACTGTTGTTTAATGCCCACGGTATTACTAAAAAATGTTTAACTTCAGGTGCATGACCTCAAATTCTTTTTATTCATTTAAATATAAGTTTGTTCTGTAATCAATGCATATCAAATGTTCCTCTGTGTAGCGGAACTGTGAAACATTTCTTGTAAAACCTTAATTTCACATTGTTGCATTGTCCAGAACAATTTGAACATTCAAAAGATAAAAGAGCAACAAAATTTTACTTGTATACATGTAGTCCTTCAAGGAGTGTGAGAAAGTTCAAGCGCAGACATAATATTAGACTAATCCCCCCCCCCCACCAAGCAATCATGTCGCAGACACTTGATTCACATTGAAGGACTATCTGGAGCAGCAGTTAGTCGTGCTGAATTTACACAGCACAATAGATCGGCGACAGGATTTTACAAAGAACTTTATCCCTTTTCTAAAAGTGTGTCTAGCAAACACTCACAAGAAATGATAGACAAATAAGACATGCAAAAATACATTTTTAATCTAAAAAAAAACCCCCTTGAACTGTGTTCACCATACTGAAAACTATCGAAAATCATGTAAGTATATGTATAAGTTACAGAAAGATAAAAAAAAAAGTATTTGATCTCTGAGGAGTACTTGGAATATATTACGAACATTTCCTTTCCAAGCAATTAAGCAAGAGCCTTAACACCATTCTCGATGAGAGAATTCTTCTGACACCTCACTCTCTGATTTACACATTTGCCACGCCTCTAAAGTGCTGTTTGCACAGTAAATTGTTACGCATTCTCCAACAGCTGCCGTCTGATCAGCTGTTTGCCTCCCCGGGGAGAAAAGTAAGCTGACTTCCACATTCTCTAAACAAGAACATTGGAGGTCTTGCGGCCCGTCCTGTTTCACGCTACACCGTTTCATTGGGTCTCAGTCTTGGTCTGGTTCCTTCTGCAGCCGTCGAGTGTTGGGTTACAGCTCAGAGAGGCTCAGCAGCCACCCGGATTTCAGGAATGAGAGCGAGTCCTTCGTGCCAAGTCTCTCCGATCACCCCCTCGTGTGACACAGAGGAGAGCTTTGTGAAACGATCCTTCCACTGACCAGTGAACTCTGTTTAATTAACCTTTTCTCCTCTCCCTCTTCGTATACTCCCATGTTTTCTTAAGAGGGCAAAAGAGAAAAGCATAATCTCTCCTTGCAATACTCCTGAGCTTTCAAAAAAACACACCTTTTCTTTCAGCAATTAGAGTGGAAGAATGTCTTCCCCAGTCTATTATAACAGCCGTTGTTTAAAGGCCGTAGCGGAAATTGACTTTCTAAGAGTGAAAGGCACTCTGCGTGATGGTGCTTGAGGAAAGCAGTCGCTGGACATCCTGGCGACCATGAGCCCAGACGAGTAGGAGCGAAAGGGGAACAATGGCACTTCACCACCTCCCTGCCCTAGATCCAACTCCAGGGAATTACAGTCAGCAGGGAAAGCGAGAGTTGAATGCCTTTAATAGGCTATAAACAACTCAAATGTTGAGGCAAAAGAGGAAAAGGAGGCATTGAACAAGAGGGTGGAGGTCCCAAGCAGTGCATAGGAGAGGACCACGAGCATGCTTGGACTTAAGGGTGTGTTAGGAGACATTGAGACAAAACAGTGTCTGCAATGGATGTCTCTTAGTAGACTCGTCTTTAAAGAAAGAATCAGATGGCTTGTATAGATC